TTAAAAATGGGATTTGATCCTATATTCGGACAGTATATAGTGTAATAGCAGGAGAATCGATTGACACTGATAGCTCGACTTTGTTTACCTTTGTTACATTCGACGTAATGAAAATTTGCGCTTGATCTCATGTAGTACGATTATCATTCATAATTCGCGCTTATGGAATTCAATTTAGTGTCTTATGAAATCAAAATTGCCCATAAGTCATAAGTCATGCTTTAAGGAATTCTGGCTCTGAGATTGATCTAGTAGCTACACGATTTGAACTCGACGATCAGGGTGTCGGCTACCTTGGGATTCTTGACCCCCCTTCTCCCCCTGCGTAGACAATTGTCCATAAAAAATGTTTTTAAATTTGTATGGGCCGTGGATAGTTGTCAACCCCCCCTAAACTGTCTCCGTAGTTTATGAATAGCCCTTTGTCAGGGAAATTCAATCAAAATCAGGGAAATATTTCTTTATAACAGAAACATATTAATAAGTATGGCTGACTTCGCTAGTTTCAAACATCTTAATTACTTGTTGTAGTTTGAGGATGGTTTTCAATTTCAAATAGAGTTTCGAAGTTGTGGTTGTTCAATGCTTGCTGTTGAATTTTTGCAAGTGGAGCAAAAGTAAGTCAAATAAAAGGGTATTTCGATGATTTTGAGCCTATTATAAATTCAGTTCCCCTGGGTGTTGTCACATTCCTGAGTTGAATTCAGTTCCGTAGATACGCTAGACGTTGTAAGTTGTTGCAGAATTAAGCTGCTTATGGAAATGTGCGTCTCTTAATAGATGTTATACCCAATTTCGTCTGACAAAATTTAACTTTCAAGAAGATTTTGCGTTTGCTCGATCCAGCTGTGTCCAACAAAAGCAATGGAGTGCTTTTGAGTAAATGCAAGAATGATTAAGAGTTAAGCTGGGCTTATACAAGGCAAGTCATTGAGTAACTCAGTTGAATTCAATTGGCTAGAAAAGTTGAGCCTGGTTTAACTTTTTTCAATTCAAGTCAGTAGTAGTCAAGTAGTTTACACGTTCAAGTCAGTTGAATTCAACTGAGTTGATCAATTGACTTGCCTTGTTTAAACCCAGTTTTAAGAGAAGATAATGATTTTTTTTTCTAAATACTTCTAGCTCTTGTTCCTTACTGTGTTCCTAACAGCTTGATTAGCTCAGAGAACTAACTAAATGAGAATTTAGGATAATGGTCTTGCTTGGGAGGTTTTTTTATTGCTTGGAGTAGCACTTTTATATGAATAATGATTGAAAGATACGTAGACAAGAATTGCTTTGACAGCAAAGAGTGGCTGTGTTATGTATTGTAGGTCTTCATTGAAAACCTGGTTAGCTCGTAAAATTAGCTTCACAGTAAAGTTTTAGTATGGTAAGGTTGCTGCCAGGCATGGAAAATCATTTACATTCATTTCATGCAATCATTTACATTCATTTGCCTCTAAGTTTTGTCATCAACAGAATTCTGCAAAAAAATGTATAGAGCTTTAGTAGGTTTTGTTATTAGCTACAACTTTTGTCCATTACTCAAATCTGTATCTCTTATGCATCACGAATTAGAGCGGGCAGAATGTTTACTGTTTTTCAGTGAATGTAAAATACATTCATTGAAAAACAGTAGTGGCTTCTGTTCGCTCTGGTTCATCATGCATAAGAGAAACGTATTTGAGTTGCTAACAAAAGTTGTAGCTAATAACAAAACCTACAAAAGCTCCACACATTTTTTTGCAGAATTCTGTTGATGAAAAAAGTTAGGGACAAATGAATGTAAATGAATTCATGAAATGAATGCAAATGATTTTCCATGCCTGGTTGCTGCTATTGTAATTTAGATGGAACTAATTTAAAGAATTTGGAGATGAAAGTGTCATTTTTACTATTTCCCACCGGAGGAGTCCGCCCGCGAACTAGCTTTTGGTTAAACATTTTATCCGGTATAATTTTCTTAGGGAGCTGAGTCTCAAAATGTGCTCAAGGCAAAACAAATATAATGGGATTAAAAACAAGTGTTTCAAATGTGAAATGCAGAGTGACCAGTGAACCGGGAAAACCGGAAAAAGCTGGAATTTGAGGTTACCGGGAAAATCCCACGAATTTAATTGACAAATCTGGAAAAATATACCTCGTCCTTTCTTCGAAAACAATAAGATTTAAGACCCTTGGACTGGTCTAGATTTTCAGGATAACTAGTCACTTTAAGGAGCTATTAAGAGAATTTTAGCAGATTTTAGAATGAATTCTAGAGATAACACCAAGATATTTTAGAGAATATTTTCTAGGGAGCTTTAGGAAAACCTATAGCAGAGGTTTTACTAGATCTCCCAAGAGTGAAAAGGATTCCAAGATTCTTGACAAATACCAAGGAACGCGAATTTCGAGGGTACAGTTGCTAAATAATTATGCGAAGATATATAAAGATAGTCCGAATATAATTCCAAGCGCATTTCGAAAGGAATTTTTAGAGAATGTTAATGAGAATTCCATGCAATTTTCAGAAGAATTTAGAGGAGAATTCCAAGATAGTTCTGAGCAAAATTTAGAGACAATTCTCGGCGGGAGAATTTCGCCTGCCAGATGGTGTTGGCAGGGAAGGGGGATTACAAGTTTTGCTCTCAAAAGCTAATAGGCTCTTTTCAATTGTTGGTCTGAGGTGAATTCTGCGGAGAATTTCATGCAAATATAACAAAATTTAAGCTCCAGCCAATTCTTGGAAAGAGTTTAAAATTCGAAGAAAGTATGAAATTTAAGAATTTTTTTGAGTGTTCTACAGAGAATGTACTATTATAAAAAAAAATTTCAAGGGATTTCCATAGAGAATTTTAAATTTATTTTAGAAGAATTCTGGAAAGATCTATGTGAAAGGAAATTAATATAAAGGAAAGGCTTCAGAACAATGAAATAAAAGCCTGTCAAGTTTTGAGCGAAATTTTCATACACAAATTGTGAAGACTTGGAACCTGTCGCAGATCCAAATTCAAGATCCAGCAAAGGTGTTGCTGTCTTAGAAATTACCCATTTAACCTTAGGCTTAATCGCATTCAGTTGTGTGCCTAATTAATACCTAAACCGCGATAATTTCCAAAATTCCGGGAGAAACACGGGAAAATTGCTAATCGAGATTTGCTGGTCACCATGAAGATGAAGGAGATTTGGATTATTCTCGTTCTTGGTAACACGAGATTTCTGTCTTTTTTGCATTCTATAAAATGTATGCAACGCTTTATTTTATCATGAAAAAATGTCCATAAAGCACATACATTCTGAGGAAAGTTATAGCTGAGGGGTTTAGTTGTTAAAACCGGGTAGGAATTGGATTTTTTTTGAAAATTACTGGAAAATCAGGGAATATCAGGGAATTTTGTTTTCTTCGTTGAGTTGACACCCTGACGATGGATTAGAGAACCTAGACCAGCGCTGCCCAAGATAATGCGGGCTGAACTTGGTCTCTGGATCTCAGCAACGATATCATTCTAGCCTAATTTTATTCATCATTAGGGCATCATCAGCGGTGGTCTATTTTTGAACCAACTTTATACTGGATTGGGAGCAAAGAATCAACTTAGATGTCTTCCCACCGGTTTTGTATTAATTTTCCAATTGAGCAGGGATTTCAAAAGAGAAGTTCCCAGATCTTCAGCAAGGTTCCCAGATTTTCAGCAAAGTTCCCATAGCACGTAGTTTTTTTCAGAGAAGTTCATAGAACTTCAGAGATGGTGGTGCGCCAGGTAACATTCAGGACGCTGCTCACAATTGCCAGTGCACGGGACATGCTGCTGAAACATGCGGACTACATAGCCTTTATAAAACCATAAATATTACTTACACCGTTCGAAAAATTCATGTAAATTTATGCGAGATATAGCGCACATAAAATTAACGCTAGATTTGGCATAAATTTACGCGATATTTCGTGTAAATTTAAGCGCAATATCGCATAATTTATCAATATTGTATGCAAGCTTGTAAACGATTTCGCTGTTTATGCCAAGTATAGCTCAATATTAAACGAAGGGAGATTTTAAGCGATAGTTAAAATTCAGAATTTTTTTCTGTGTAAGTCATTAATTTGGTTAAAAACAATTCCTTTCGCAATTTTCCTGTGTACAAACTGTTTTCGTTTTCATATCTATCAATCACCTGTAATTTTATACAATCAATTATACGAGAGGTCCACGGATGGCTCGCCCTTCCGAAAGGGTTAAATAAATAATAGTTTGAAAATTGTATAAACTCAATCAACATAGCCGGAGTAATCGAATGATGAAGCCGATGACAGTAATTGATCAATGCAAAAAAGATCATTTGAATTGATCAGCTAGAAATTTACAAAAGTTTTGTTCATATGAGACCATCCTGAATAGCTCCAAATATACTATATTAAAAATATAGTTCACTATTCGTTTTTCCAGAGTCGCGTCAAATCACCAAACAACGAGCGGTATTTTGCCAAGCGTTTAAAAATGAAAATTTCACTTGAATTGATTCGGGTTTAAATTGTATTTCTAGTTCAACTCTTCCTCTTTCTAATGATTGATAAAAGTATGTTTTTTGCATGTGCACTCAGTGCACCAACGCGACTGCTGGAAGGTTAATTATAATCAGGGGAAAAAATTATGCACGTTGCTTAAACCTGTAGATACTTATGGGAGCACGAAAATAATTGTTTGAACAAGTTTTGTTTTAAACCTCTGTTGTAGCTTTGAAGCATCCCTAAGTAATGTTTTTAGAATACATAAGCTGCCATTTATGACGCAAAGGAGCAGTTTTTAACGAAAACCGTGCCCTGAATTGCGTACTGTTAGTTAGGTGGCAGTCGGAGATGGCTGATATATATCTTTGGGGATTCTAATAGTTTTGAGTTTTTGTTTGCATTGCAGTAGCGATCTTCAAAGAACCAAAGAACCTTTGTGACATGTATTTATTTAAAGCAATAGGTACAACACTTAAGCAGCGTAGACATCCACACAAGAATTCGAACATTCACACTAGACAAGACATACCTTTGATACAGTCCGACAAGTCTGTCCGCCTCACGCCAGCCTGTCTCGATGGCGCCATGCACTGTCGAGTAGTAATGGTCATGCGTTGCTTCACCGGCAAATTGCACAACGGGAATCCCGATCGCATTGCACAGCGGCAGTGCTAAGTGCTCCGCTGAAGTATTCAATAAATCCGTTGTTACCGAGCGGAAGCTGTACGATCCTCGGAAGTTCGGGTTCGAATACCACTGGGTTCGTCTAAAGGACACCGGTTCATGGATGGCAACGTCCTTTATAAACTTTCTCAACAGGAACATGCATGCTTCTTGAACTTCATGCTCGCTGAGACGCTCCATCCGACGTGAGCTCGCACCGGAAATCCATCCGCAAATGATATTTGGCTGGAAGTCAACAGGATAAAAACCGAATACGTCTTCCATCCAACTATTTTTGGATGTGCGTATTTCCTCCAGATCGGATTGATTCCAAAGAAGACTTAGTCCCTGCCACTCGGCCGGCCAGAACGGTTTCTTGAACTCTAGATACAGTTTATTAACTGTACCTATTGAAAGACCTTTGATAGCATTCTTCTTCATAGCAGGAAGTTGTGGCGAGAAAAGTGTTTCATAGCGTTCTTTCAGAACGCCCAATGATACCGTGCAGATGACATGATCTGCATCATAAATGCTATTGTCAGTACATCGGATAGAGACTATGTTGTCCGGACCGGATTTCCAACAGATGTTGGCTACAGTTTTTTTGAAATGAGTATAATCTTCCAGGTTTATAGCGTCGGGAGAGTTTGGTGAAGGGTAGCGTTTCTGTGAAAAAATAAATTACTTTAGGAAACTCCCACCTTCTCGAAGAGTGGTAGTACATACCATCAGTATGTCCAGCACAGTCTTATATCCTCTATCCTTCCAGTTCAAAAGATGGTCTCCGTCACACTCCCAGTAGTGCATATAACCTGGTCCGGATGTATCGAACCAACTGTCCGAAGCCTCTATAGAATTTTCGAATTTGTGGAAGAACTCTAAAAACTGATAAGCCGTCTCGTGATCCACATCGGCGTAATCGGGAGTTTCAAGCAACGTTCGGAACTTCTCCACAACAAACGAACCCAATGAGCCACGGTAACGGCTGAGCTCGTTTTTATGTGAAGCCAAAATGCTCCACATGGCACCCATCAGTTTTTGACTTTGTTCTTTCGGAACTTTCTCCCCGTTAGATTTAGTCAAGTCAAAGTCTTCATACTTGAAGCCACTCGAATCGTACACGTTGTGCTTTGAACCCAGCTCGTAGCATGCATTGTTCACTTCTCCGTGACACCTGTAAAATTCAACGTTATGAATTAATGATTTACGTGAAAGTTCAACAAGTCATCAATTAGCATACCACTGAGCTCCCAAGTCTACTACATTTGCAGCGAAGGGAGTCGTAAAAATTCGGCCTCCGATGCGATCTTCTGCTTCCAAAATCGTCAGATTTTTGTAACCTTTCTCGATCAATCTTGTAGCAGTGGCTATCCCAGCAGCGCCAGCGCCGATTATCACAATTCTTGGATTCATCACAGCTCTATGAAACTTTTAAATTCTTTTCAAATTGCACGTAATCAATCAACCTTTTGCATCACACTCGGTGTCCTACAACCAGGGTTCTGATACCTATACCTACTAGAAAAAAGCACGACTACACTTCATACCACACCAAGGTATCAATGATAGCTTTGATCTATATTAATGCAATGCATAACATCTCCTTTAACAAGCTCAGTGATAAGATTAGAAAATTTTGCTCCGTAAACTCCGGTATTTCAATTAGGTGAAAATGTTGACAACCTAGGGACGTCTATATTTATTACTGCTTCCACTTGAGTCACACGCATACTCTACCAATGAGCAACGAGTGGTTCGGTTGTGAATGATGAAATACAAATAACAAAATTTTATTCAATCTAGTGCTCTCGTATCTAAGAAACCACTTGGTCGAACGTTTACATTTTACTAGAGTTAATCCTTAATCATGTTACGTAATTTACGGTACGCCTCATAAAGCATGTTGTGTTGGTGGTATACTCGCGGGAATGTAGTTAAAACATGTGCGAAAACCTCGTCTCCTTCTGTATATGATAACATCTGCAAACAGCTGAGAGACCGGGCGGCTTCTTGCAACGACGACAATCCGAAGCACACAACCATACAGTTATGTCAGTATCGATCCGTGTACGGCTTATAGTTCGCAGCTCGGTCAATATTGTTTAGGTGTTGGTAGATGGTCTACTCTTGCGTACAACATTTTGGTTGTGCAATCTTGTGTAGAAGAGCATTGTAGCCAGCATTATGGACAGCAATCAAGAGATTTAACGTTCTCAATGCATTAGGAAAATTTACACAGTGTCTCCAGGCCAAAAATGACCCCAAATACTGCAGGAAGGTTAGAAACATAAATATGTAGTTCTTCGATGCATTCAACGTTCGGTAGCTGATTAAAATCAATTTTTAGGTCCTATATTGCAGGGTGGCAAGCGAACCAGGAAAACCAGGAAAACCGGAAAAAAGTCGGGAATTTATTTTTACCAGGAAAACTGGGAAAAAACCAAGAATTTCAAAAGTCCACCAGGAAAATAATCTTGTTTGTATAATTTAAAAAAGTTTTAAATTTTATGCACACACTATGAAAAAGACATGTACATTTCGGTGCCCTGAGACCGACACATTTTTTTTTCCTTTGGTTTGTTTTTTCCGTCGATCTTGTTTTCCGTGCTGAGCACCAATGCTACCGACGTGCCAGGAAGGCAGCTCCCACACCTGGACCCTACCTATCGACCCATCAACTCATGAACCGGGGACCAACGGCTTTACTTCCCATCCGAAGGAAGGCGTGATCAGAGATGTTATGCCTCAGAACATCCCGGCGGCGCCGACTGGGATTGAACCCAGGCCTGTTGGGGTGAGAGGTAATCACGCTTACCACTACACCACCGGCACCTTTAGAGACCGACACATGCAAGCGGCTCTTTTGACATAAGAATCAGTTGAAACGACGAGAAAATCACTTCAATCAAACGCACTTTTCGTTGAGTTGCATATGTTTCAGCACAGACAAACAGACGTAACTCTTTTTTTTTCTTTTTTTTTTTTATACAGGGGGGAATCTGCTCCCAGACTCCTGAGAAGATAACTCAGGGTGTGGGGATGGGAGAAATAGCTCTCCCGACCCACTAAACCTTACCCTGTGCTCTAGGCCCTTGCCCTCCCCGGAACCGCCCGAAAGCATTACGTCATGGGAGGGGGCCGGTTGCGCTATGGCGCATCACTTGGTGTTGTGTCCGACGTGACACTCGCTACTGCACAGTGAGCAGCTGTGCAGGGCCTTCCTCTTGTTGTTCGCTGTTCATTGTTCGCCCGAGTTCTAGAGCAGACGTGATAGCCAGCCAACTGTCCAACAGGGCAGCTTAGGACAGATGTGACCGCTTACCAGCTGCGTGTGCTAAGCACTCTAAGAACCCGGCGTCACTCCTGCCTTTGCACAACGAGGGTTTGTGCAGGGCTTCTCAACCTCCTCTTGTTGTTCGCTGTTCATTGTTCGCCCGAGTTCTAGAGCAGACGTGATAGCCAGCCAACTGTCCAAAAGGGCAGCTTAGGATAGATGTGACCGCTTACCAGCTGCGTGTGCTACGCACTCTAAGAACCCGGCGTCACTCCTGCCTTTGCACAACGAGGGTTTGTGCAGGGCTTCTCAACCTCCTGGGACGAGCTGGATGGGGTTCCAGCGTCCCTACTCTGCGGTAGTTCGTTTAGCCGCAATATCTCTCCCTTGGGTTCGATAACTAGCGTTTCCAGGGCACACCACGAGGAGGCGAACTACTTCAGACGTAACTCTTAATTGTGTATCTTCATCCACGCATTGAACGGTTGATTTGAATATTATCAGTTCCGCGAACTACTCGCCACGGCGCTGGCATCGGATCACTTTGACGTTTCTATACATTCTATAGAACTTTTATTCAATATTGTTTGCGAGTTAGCGAGAAGCCCGAGAGATGTCGTTACTGAGGTCCTATGTTTTGAGATACTATGTTTTCAAGAAAAACTTTTTCAAAGAGTTACATCTGTTTGTCTGTGGTTTCAGTTTTAGGACACTTAATTTTACATGCTATGTTTGTTTACGTTCCATGATTTACGTCAAAGCTGAATTACGTCTCGTGTAAAAATAATAATTTATAAGTGTGTATGTCAAAGTTTCTTTTTATAATCAGGTCAAAACTAACCATTTTGTTCAAGCTAAATCTTTCACACAACTAAACATTGATGAACAAAATTTACCCTGAGAGTTTAGTAAATATATTTTGTATTTATTTTTAATTTAATTTTTTTTCTCGAATCAATTGCATGTATGATTTGTGCTTAATTGATAGCAGACTTAAGCAGTGCCGACGCGTACGCGTACTTTCAAGTACCTGTTCAACATGTTCAATAAAAAAGTTCTATTTCTAAAAACTTCAGATAAGGCCTTCGAACTTCATGCAAGTTCTACAAAATTCGGGAAAGTCTTACAAGTTTCAGGAAAATCCTGTGAACTACTGTGATGACCTACGACGGTCAGGAAATCTCTCCGAACCTTCAGAGAAGTTCTACAAATTTCAGAGAAGTCTTACTAACTTCAGGGAAGTCCTTTAATCTTCGGGGAATAACTACGAATTTTACAGAATTTTCTACAGATTTAATGTAACTTCTACGACATTTAAGCATTGCTTGAAACTTAAGGATAATCCTATGACACTTATGGATTTTTTTCGAGCTTCAGGGAAGTCTTTAATACTCTTGGGAAGTCCTTTGAACTTAACATAGCTCTCCAAGCTCAAAAAATTCCTAGAACTTCCGAGAAGTCGATTGAACTACAGATAGTCCTATGAAATTCATGGGAGCTCTCCAAACTTCAGGGAAGCTCTTCTAAATTTAGGGTCCTCATATATTCAGTTAAGTCCTTCAAACTTCAGGGAAGTGCTCAGATCTTCGAGAAAGTTCTTCGAACTGGAAGGAAGTCTTACGAACTTCTGAGAATTTCTACGAACTTCGTGGTACTTCTACGATATTCAAGAAATTCCTATGAATTTCAAAAAACTCTGAACTTCAGGGAAGTCCTAAGATCTTGAAAAAAGTCTTTCGAACTTCGGGGAAGTCCCATGCAATTCAGACAATACAAACTTCAATGAACCCTTCAGGAAAGACCTTAACGCTTCAGGGAAGTTCTACGAACTTTAGGGAGTTTCTATGAACTTCAGCAGTCAGTCTTTTTGATAATAAGAGTTATTAAACCAGCGTTGTTTATGAAATCTTTTAATCATATGATTTTGAAATCATGTTGTAATCAAAATTCCGCTAAATAAGATCCGTAATCGTTGACAATTTGCGGAAAATTTCAACAAACTGGAAATCCGTAAAATTGTTAGAAGCAAAGGTTTGTTTAAAAAGTCCTCATTCATATCACACTTCGCAATTTCATCTTGAGGTAAACCCGTAGGCTAAAAATCTCAATAATAAAGTTAAAAAAATCGCAGTTTAAAAAACAGAAATCTCTAGATTTAGGGGCTTATAGATCTCTAAATATCAGACATTAGATAGGGCTCCGCGCTAGTCCATCGTATCTCAGCTTTTCTTCGTCATACACCCCTAGAATCGCTCATTTTACGAGTTATCGCAAATGTTTCAGTGTCAATCGTAATTGTAAAAAAAGATGTTTTTGCAAAAACATGAGTGAAAACGCTTTGCTATTATAGTTTTAGCACATAGAACGGAAATAGGCGCCATGATACGACGAAGTACCGCGGCTCCTTACTAGCTTCTTTACAGCAAACAATCAGATAAAGATTTCACGGGCATTCACAAGAACCTTAATACCTATTTTGGTTTGTGAAATTCCGCATTGCGCAAAGAATGATGGTACAAGGATCCACTTTTTTTTCCAGGATCCAGGATTTTTTTATTAAACATTGTTTTTAAAATACATGGTTTTTAAAACCAGGAAATTTTTAAATCATTGACCAGGAAAACCAGGAAACAACCAGGAATTCCAAAATGGAAATTCACTTGCCACTCTGTAACGGGAAATTTCAAGAAGTTCCCAGATTGTCAAAGATCTTTAGAGATATTAAGAAATTTATTGAGGTTTTCACATAAATCCAGAAGTTCACGGAAGCTTCAAAAATTTTAGAACAGTTCAATTAAATTCAGGGTAGTACAACAAGCTGCATGAGGACTGCAAACACTTTAGAGAAGTTTTGACAACTTCAAGAAAGATATTGATCTCGCTAATAAAGCTCTACAAAAAAAACTTCAAGAAAGTACAGATATCCTCAGAGCAGAGATTTTCCAGAGCAGCGAAATAACATAAATTAAAAAAAAAAAAGTTTTGAGAAATACAGTGAATTATTAAAATCTGAGAGAAGATTCATGATCGTTTGTGGAAATTTGTGGAAACTTTAGAAAGTCTGAAAAAGTTCAGAGAAGTTGAAAACATCAATGAGAAGTAACGGGTGTTCAATAAAAAAGGATTTCAGTGCCGTCCAGCGCTCTTGTGAGAGCATCGCAACTAAGTAAGGCTGACCAAGGCCCCTTCTTCAATATTCATTGACGTTTTTTTGAAGATTAAAAATTATGTTTTTAATAAAAAATACTGAATTCGTTGAAAAAACATTTTTTTTACTAGCTATATTACTTAAAAAATTCTCATGTTTTATTGAACACCCGTTATTGCGAGCATCAGAACTTCAAGGCAGTCTTCATGAATATAATGGGAACTTGCAAGCTGTTCTGAAGGCCTCAGAATAGTCCAGAACATATTATTATTATTATTTTTATTATTATTATTATTATTATTATTATTTAATTTTATTCATCGGACTATTGTCTACATGAAACAACCT